TACAAACACAGCTGATGACTCCATCTACCTTGAATATTGCTGAATGCGGCATTAAGCTACAAACACAGCTGATGACTCCATCTACCTGGAATATTGCTGAGTGCGGCATTAAGCTACAAACACAGCTGATGACCCCGTGTACCTGGAATATTGCTGAGTGCGGCATTAAGCTACAAACACAGCTGATGACTCCATGTACCTGGAATATTGCTGAGTGCAGCATTAGGCTACAAACACAGCTGATGACACCATCTACCTGGAATATTGCTGAGTGCGGCATTAAGCTACAAACACAACTACTGCAGCTAGTATCATGTATTTTATATTTGACTGTGATGTTCTGCTTCTCTGCATGATGATCTGACACACCCTCCAAAGAAGAAAGTCTGTGATGTTTTAGAACCACTCAGCTATGATCTGTCTGTACAAATCCAAGTCCACGGAGTTATTCAAAACAGTTGGTTTATGTTTTTGTTGCAGTGTCTTGGTCATATGATTAAATTATCTATTATACACTGTATAAAGTTGTGACAGTATAGGGGCGGTGGGGTAGCCTAATGGTTAAAGCGTTGGCTCGTCACGCCGAAGACCCGGGTTCGAATCCCCACATGGGTGAAGCCCATTTCTGGTGTGCCCCGCCGTGATGTTGCTGGAATATTGCTGAAAGCGGCGTAAAACCAAACTCACTCAGTCAGTCAGTGTGACAGTATAAAGTATATAGCTGTGACTTAATTTGGTATAAATCGGTAACTGTGTGTGCAAACCGCTGTGACAGTACATGGTATATAGCTGTGACTGTCATTGTATAAAGCTGTAATAACATACATTCAGTGCATATTATTTCACTGTGACTGAATGTGGTGTAAAGTTATACGAAATTTAGCTCTGGCTCCACATGGTATATAGCTATGATTGTGTAAGTATAAAGCTATGATTGTGTAAGTATAAAGCTATGATTGTATGAGATATATAGCTAGGACTGTACATAGTACAGTGATTGTACATGATGTAACACTGTGACTACATGGAATTAAGCTAAGACCGTACGTGATATAAGACTTATGAGGGCAGCTGTGAATGTTGTGTATGCTAAAGCGCCACTTGAAATGAAACCCAGGTCATGTAGTTTTCTGGTGGAACTCTTCAAACGAAAGTATTGTTAACTTAAGTCGGTCAAATTGTTGCCTTGAAATATAAAACTGGTTGTTTTAAAATTGCAATTATTTAAATTAGATTTGATGCCTGGTGAAAACTATGTCTTTCCATGTCTGAATATTTCAATCTTATTCTAAAATATACACAATGTTTCTGATGAATGCGTCCACTCAATGTTGTTCATCTCCAGTTCCTAGAACGTTGCAAGACCACACATGCCCTGGGGCGAGTAGGAGAGGTTCGTGAAGTTGCCAATGTCATCGCCTTCCTGGCCTCCGACAGTGCATCATTCATAACGGGCAACACAGAGTCTATAGACGGAGGTCGCCACTGCATGTGTCCACGATAAAAATCTCCTGGTTCCATTCCATAACTTTGAAAACTGTTTACCTGGTCAATCGTGATTCTTTATTTGCTTTCAATAGATATTTAATGTAATTTGTTTAAGTAATGAGAAAGATGTTTAGCAACAGCCAGTAAATACATTTAAATTGTAGACACAGAAAATATCAGAAGTGTCAAGCAACCAACATCTGAAACAAAGTCTCTCATGAATTTTACTACGTTTCAAGAGGGATCTTAAAGTTGGAATCCTTGTCAAGATTAATGTACTTTATAGCTGCAGGCCATCATACCCCAACTGCGTGAATGATGGTCATTAGTCACCAACATTCCAGCTATATGGATAACAACTTCTTTTATTTCGTATCAATACAGATTGTTGTATCACTGTCCAGCTGGGTTTTATTTGGTTTATTGTTTTACTCCGCAATTCCCAGTACAACGGCGAGAATTGTTGAGGTGAGAAGGATGTTGCTGATGGAGAAACTGAAGAATCTTCATCTGCCGTTAGACATTAGAGTTGCAAGTGTATCTTGAAGAGTATGCAGAAGTTTACTTCTAAATAGATTTTCTCTATATGAGTGAGTGAGTTTAGTTTTACGTCGCACTCATCAATATTCCAGCTATATGGCGGCGGTCTGTAAATAATCGAATCTGGGCCAGACAACCCAGTGATCAGTAGTACGGGCATCGATCTGCGCAAATGGGATAGGATGACATGTGTCAACCAAGTCAGCGGGCCTGACCACCCGATCCCGTTTATCGCCAAGCATTGGTTACTGAAGACCAACTCTAACCTGGATCTTTAAGAGTAAGTCCAACAGACGAAGTGGGACAAGGGAAGTCCATAGGGTGTCTTTGTTCATAGATCTCATCACTCCAGGTGAAGTAGGAGTAGGAGTGGCTGCAGGCGGACTTGAGGCTGCTGATGGAGTAGGTTGAGAGGCTGGCATAGGTTCGTGGCATACTTCTCGCAGTGCTTCTTCACTCGGTACGATAGAAGTCTACAACGTCACAGCTGATGATGTGACCTGAACTGGTTGTATCTGTATTAACACGTCGCACTTCCGGAATAAAAGATGTTGTTATCCATAAAAATGTTTCATTAAAACATTATTTCATGTACTCATAAGTGACCTTTGGGATATTAAATATAAAGATATCACAAATATTGATATTTTATATCTTTTATGAGAAAAATATTTTAACAGTGTAACAGTCAGATCTGACAGAAATTTGCATTGACTATCAGATGACCATAGATTGTGTGAAATGATTGGCCAAACCGCCATTCCGTCCATCACGTCATTTCCCATGAAAAGTCAAACGCTTTCATATTGCGTGAATCCGCCTCTGTTCTCAAGACGATCCAGGATTCCATGAGACATAATCCTAAATTGCATGTCCAGTGTCAACATGGTTCATTCCATCCCATTCTTCCAGCAGGGCAGCGCCATTTTCGTTGGGAGCTGTCGGTGGTTGTTGACGGTGACGTTGCGCCTTCTAAGGATATACCGGACATGTTGCATGCGCGATAAGTCTGTTCTGAGTGATGGCCATGGTGATGTGGTTTGGGTTCTTCTGTTGTAGGGGCGGTGGGGTAGCCTAATGGTTAAAGCGTTGGCTCGTCACGTCGAAGACCCGGGTTCGAATCCCCACATGGGCACAATGTGTGAAGCCCATTTCTGGTGTCCCCCGCCGTGATGTTGCTGGAATATTGCTAAAAGCGGCGTAAAACCAAACTCAGTCAGTCAGTCAGTCTTCTGTTGTAGGTACTCAGTAACACCACAAGCCATATGTGCTCTTGAAACACAATAGGTCATCCATGTCGGCATCCAAATGACACGTTCGTGAATAACATGTAAAGGTGTTCTGCCAGTCACAGTGATCGAACACCACACCGTAACTGTGCCACTTTCAAGACGATCGTTCAGTCTAACGTCAACTCTAGGAACACGCTCATTCCGTTTACGCCACATTATGTTGCATCTCCCAAAGAGTCCACAGTAAACCATCATTCACGAGAAAACATAATGTTTGCCAAACGACTTGGTCCAGCGCAACTGCTCTTGGCACCAAAGCCGTCTTGCAGTAATGGCGGTCTGTCAATGGTGAGGTAACAGGTAGACGTCGAGCCTTCAGGTTCCATCTGTGTAGCCGATGACGAATCGCCTGTCCACTTACTACTCCTGTAGCTCTGTAAGGCTCATCTCCAGATTGAGAGGCACAGTCTACTCAAGAGCCTACTCATTATATATGCTCCACTACAGTACTACACATCACTTGCTTGATAACGGTCCTAGCATCTACACCGAAACGTCGCATATATTGTAATAAAGAAAGTACAGGCAGACCGCGTTAATCCGAACATTTCCGTTTTTCAGCAAAAACGTTCGGATGGTGAAACGTACGGGCTTATGAAACGAACCATTATGCACACCACTACAGTAGAGTTACTTCCCTTTGACATACCGAGGCAAGAAAATAAGAATGTATACATGTATCAAATGACTTTATTACAGTTGTATACATATTCATAGAACTATCCCTGTTGTTCATGTTCATTACGCCGACATTTAAATATGACAGTAACTCAAAGAAGGCTTCACAGTCATTCTGATGAAGGACCTTGTGCGCCAGTTGTCGCCCTTGGTTGACCTGATCGGTGTCTTTCATCAACGTTATTTGTCCGTCGATATCGTGATTGTAATCTGTAAGTTTAGGAGCCCGTGCGTCAATGCTGTCTTGTTCCAATTTGATCGTAGCCTTTCTTGATGTGCTTTTTCAAACAATATCAAGACAGATTTCAGTTTGTTTTTATCATTGAAATGTGGGGCGGTGGGGTAACCTCGTGGTTAAAGCGATAGCTCGTCTCGCTGAAGACCCGGGTTCGATTCCCCACAAAGGTGCAATGTGTGAAGCCCATTTCTGGTTTCCCCCGCCGTGTATTTGCTGGAATATTACTAAAAGCGGCGTAAAACTATACTCACTCACTCATTGAAATGTACATCAACACACTGACTTGTCAATCATACAAACAACACTATTGTGAAATGAATATAAATGGCTATATGCTGGTTAGGACACGTTTTGCGATATTTTATTCCGTGTGTGTTTGTGCGTGCGTGCGTACGCGCGTTTGGTCGTGTATGTGTTACAATTGATTCTAGGCTTATAACATTTTTCCATATGCATAAATCAGACTGTGCTATACATGTACACATAGAATGCATTTCAATGCGATAAGTACTACCAAAAATTTCGTTGACTTTCACAGCGAAATAAAGTCTAAGAAGTTTGCACCCTATATGAAGTGCACATTGTATGGGTTGATTACGTCAGCACTGACATTACTGATGAGGTTTGAACTGCAATGACTCGACTCAGTCTGATAAGGATTGAGAGTTACGTCCCTTGTACTAGAAAAAAAACTCGCTTATGAAAAACCCACTTACCTATTTATCAAATAGTTATGGTAGACCGTAACGGACGGTTGCAGAGAGATGGCGTCTATTGGGAGGCTCGATGACAAAGTTGCACTAGTGACAGGTATGTAAGCTTTCATTGAGTCCCTGCTTAGTTTTAAAGATGTATAAATTTTCATTGAAGACCTAGCACAAGAAAAAGCAGTGTCACCTGACGAGTTGTTTTGACACACTCCCTGCATCACGTACCTGTGAGTGGAGCTTAGGAAATCGCTTGACATTGTTATAAGGGTGTTATGTAAGCTTATACTTTATTTGGACATGTAGAAGAAACAGCCTTCTTACTGAATTCGTCGATCGTATCTGAAATGCTATTTTTTTGTATTAGTGTGTTTAGCTGAATAAAATGTTAACGAGGTCGTCATACCTGTCAACTCTCACGCATTTGGCGTGAGTCTCACGCTTTATTGACAAATGTCACGCTCTCACGCCTCCAAATAATAATCTCACGCATATCTGGTAGCCAAAAATAAATTCAAAATTAATACGCATGTTCATGCGAATGATTCGGCTTATTATCATTTATTAGCATGCATCTTTTAGTGTCAAAATAATGCCACCAGAAGGCTCCAAATGCTCCTGAAAATCACTAAACTTCATTTTCGGGGGCGGGGGAACCCCGGCTGGACCCCGGCTTATTTTTTTCAGTCTCACTCCAAACCATCTTTAGGGGTTGACAGCTCTGGGTCGTTGGCCTCCAAAGGGCCGTACAGTGTTGAACGGAAAGTACATGTCGTTTGGAATTCGAAACTCTGAAACCAGAAGGCATAGTATTCCAAGGTCCCCTTTAGATGATCTCATCCTGTATCTCATCCTGTAAAGAGATAGTGTTTTTCAACTTCAATTCACAGAATTCCGATCCCACTTTCAAATAGGCGGGTCAAGCTCCTTGTTATATCTAGCGCTGTGGAATTTGAGATGTTGATGACCCAATTCCTGCAGTCTGGATGTGAGGCCTAGTTGTGTTGTTCACTTTGGACGCTAATACAATGGTATTTGATACTGACATACAGCTTGTTCAGCTTGACTTGATCAAGTGAATACTAATGTATTGCGTGACCGTGTCACAACTGGTTGGGTCTACTATTGTGAAGGGGTGCAGTTTTGGCAGTTGATTGTCAACATCTCCGAACAGCAATGTTCTAACTTTCTTTAAAAAAGTGTTGTTTTCCGGAACAAGTTCTGTAACGAATCCGCATGTGCATACTTTGCATTCTCTGCTCCCCTATTTAATGAAGTTACCTCGACCTGCCGTTTGTGACATTTGAAGCTGTGACAAGCTGAACAAGCTGTACAGATGATGTAAATGTACATGTTCCTCTATTATATTTATATTGGTTCAATAATTTACCACGAAATTCACATTTTTGTATGTGCGTGACCTTGACATTTCTTAATCACTATATATAATTCTCACATCCGCTAAATGCTTATAAAGACACATTTTTATGTCGTATTTTTTCTTTTACATCTGGTGTATCTTTTATACACTGACAAGTCTCTTCTTTCGTATCTTTCCGAGACAAGGGGGGTACTTGTAAGATATGTCATACAGGCACCAACGATTGTGTGTGCATGACACAATTTGCACAAGGAGAAAGATCAGGGTCAATATCTGGTTAACAAAATGACTTCACGAACAATGGTTAAACGAATTATTTATCAGGTGCAACGGAAAAACAAACCATCATTTTCAGGTGCCAGTTCCGGTATTGGTGCCGGCACAGCCATATTGTTTTCTCAGCTGGGAGCCCGTGTCATCATCACAGGGAGGAATGAGGAGAACCTGGAGAAGACAGCAGAGCAGTGTAACCAGGACAAGTACAAGGTGAAGGTCATTAATCCGTCGTTCACTGTGTATAAAGCCCCATTCACATGGATACTTTTATTCATTTGTGTATATATACTTACAATGGCAAGTGAGGGTGAGTAAATATGCGCCTGGAGTAAATGGAGACAAGTAAAAATATATTTGCTACACCTAAGGAGGTCCACTAAAATATATATTTCCTTATAAGTACAAATGCTTATTGAGCAGATTGTAAGCTTGCGTATGTAAGCATTTTATGGTCATGATACTAGAAAATCACCGCCGCAATTCTAAATGTACAAGTTCATGCCTACACACATTTTGATAAACCATGATTAATTAACTGGCCACATGAACAGATCTGCTTCAAATAGGTTTCCAAAGATTATGAGATCTGCATTATAGTTCCTGTGCACGAACTTCCATCTTCATCAGTTGCAGTTTGTTTGGAGAGCTTTAGGTAGTGACGATGATATGATCTGATGATATCAAAATTATTTAACATTCGTCAGACCTTATCGCACCATACCTACAAATAGTATTTGATATCATACTGGAAAATGGTTCTTTCCCACATTGTTGGACGATTGGTATCATTGTTTCAATTCATAAACATGGGGATGTAAATACCCCAAATAACTATAGAGGAATAAAATTGCTAAGTATATTTAGTAAAAATTTCCTTTTATAGTTGAGAAGAGACTTGTAAGCTGGGAAGATAGAACTGATAAGATAAATGAATCGCAAGTTGGATTTAGAAATGGATATACCAATGTTGACAACATGTTTATATTACAAAGTATAATACAAAGATATTTGAATTCAAGGAGGAAAATACTATGCCCTATTTGTAAATTTTGCAAAAGCCTTTCATTCTCTATCAAAATTTCCACATTTGAAAGATGACAAACTTGACTGTTTTCAGAAAGAGTTAGTAAGAAAAGCTATCAGAAATCTCTATAGCAAAAAAATACATTCCTCTCCTTATTTTTCAAAAACACACGGATACAGAACATTCGTTGATTATATCCAAATATCAGTTATAGAAACTTTTGCATAAATGTGGGTTTTGTTACAAAAAGTAAGTGGGGAACAAGACGTAAAAGAGTTGACATGGTGCAATTATTACGCAACACACTATCAGACAAAACGCCGAGAAGGATTCTAATCAGTGTTTTGCAATGAAACATGAGTGAACGGGCCACATTGCAAGCACACTATGAGTACACAAAAGAACCATGTAACAGGAAACTGCCATTGGGCAAGGGTGAGTGACACATTGTGTTACAGGCGGGTTGTAAAGGTGTGGGGTTTCTGCCTGATTGTTCACTCCTGTTCAAGTCGAAATCCAAAGACCCCAGATATTACCACACGGAAATGAATGGTGACGTTTTCTTCAATTGGGTGAACAACAGTTGATACTAGCACAACCTCAGAAATGTTTAATAAGTGAGTGAGTTTAGTTTTTCGCTTCACTCAGCAATATTCCAGCTATATGACGTCGGTCTGTAAATAATCTAATCTGGACCAGACAATCCAGTGATCAGCAGCATGAGCATCGATCTGTGCAATTGGCAACCGATGGCATGTGTGAACGATGTCAGCAAGCCTGACCACCCGATCCCGTTTGTCGCCTTTTACGACAAGCATGGGTTACTGAAGATCAATTCTAACCCGGACCTTCACGGGTCCAGAAATGTGTAATTGTTATGGACCACGCACAGTACCATAGCGTGCAGGATCTAGATGCACAAGCTCCAACATCCAATAGTGGGAAAAGTCATATGGTAGCATGGCTAGAAAAACAAGATATTCCGTTTCCATCAAAAGCAACTAAACCTGTTTTGTATGACATAATAATGCACAAGAAAACACCACCAATCTTTAAGGTAGATCAATATTTCAAAGCTCATGGCTATGAAACTTTACTTTTAAAGCCTTACCTTTGCGATCTCAACAGCCTAAATAGTGGAGATGCAAATAGTCTAGTACTATTTCCAAGGAAAGATAACTCCGAGTTTCCAAACATGGCAGCCTGGTTCCCTGGGTCTGTTGCGCCTGCGCTAACGTCCGACACTGACCCAGGCAACCACTGCCGAATGGCGGCCTTCACTGCAGGGAGACGCGCCATACATTTACTATAGGAAAATCTGAGAACGGGTGGTTATAATTTTTTCATAGCATTTTCATCGATACTATGGCAAAGTAACGTCACCAGAACAACACCCATCGTTCCATCGTTTCAGGGTAGGTTTAGCGGATATATTTTTTCGATCGCCTTGTGAAATTACAAGGTAAAGCGTTTAGATCATATGGATGATGTTAATGACAGGGTTTGTCATTCTGATATTTAGCCTCTACAAAACAACATGAAACAGTTAACATATATAACCAATATCATTCAGAAATGTTTATGATTATAATAAACAAGGATTAATCAAATGATCTATATACAAAAATGCACACACATATACAGCTCAAAACAATGAATTTGATTTATTTTTAATTTTGGGTAATTTGCTCTGTAATTTGTTGACCAGTTCACTATTGTGATTATATTTTTCTTAATCAAAAGTTTATGGTGTGTATCTTGAAATTGTGTCTTTATATAGATATTGGGTATTGTGTTAACACCTAAACTTTTTTGGACTAAAGCACTAACTACTCTTGGTGCACAGAGTAAAATGGCTGTTATGGCATTGTACAGATGTCAAAAGAAAGTTGAAAATAAACCATGTCAAGATTAATTATGATATTTAATGCTATGATTGTTCCTATAGTGTGTAATGGTGCAGAAGTAAGGGGGGACCTCATACTGTAAAATTATTGAAGATGTATCGCATAAAATGTGAAACGGTTTCTCAAAACAGCAAAAAAAAATATGGTTTGGGGAGAATGTGGCAGAACGCCTCTCCAACTTGTGCACACCACAAGCCCTGTAAGGTATTGGGGGCGATGGGGTAGCCTAGTGGTTAAAGCGTTGGCTCGTCACGCCGAAGACCCTGGTTCGATTCCCCACATGGGCACAATGTGTTAAGCCCATTTCTGGTGTCCCCAGCCGTGATATTGCTGGAATATTGCTAAAAGCGGCGTAAAACTAAACTCAGTCAGTCAGTATAAGGTATTGGTGCAGGCTACTGTATTTGGATGAACGCAAACTGCCTCGCCAATGCCGTACCTCATATTAAAAATATTCTGTTTAGACTCATTCATATTTAGAATATTCTGATTTGAATATGTGCGGTTAGCACAAGATGTGAAGATATTTATTCGCCTTTTGAGACAAAGATCATTTGACAACCTACAACAATCAGGGTGTGGTTCCATCAACAGTTGATCTGATTCCTTCTATTAACAGCATTTAAAATCACTGTTAAATTGGGAATAGAATCTTACACTCCATATCCCTGTACACCTAAGACTATCCATGGCTCTTTTAAGATGTAGTAGGTTTAAACTTCGAGTCGATTTTGGAAGATACACAACTGTCCCATACACTGAATGACTGTAAATATTGTATATTAAGGGGAAGATATTTTGTTGAAGATGAGTTTCATATGCATGTATTCCTTGTATGTGAGCATTACTCAGCCATAAGAATTATGTATGGGTCTTAAACAATTATATATAAAGTCCCACACTGTAACATTTTTTATTGGATCGATGATCATGCTGTTGATCTCTGGATTGCCTGGTCCAGACTCGATTATTTACAGACCGCCGCCATATAGCTGGAATACAGCCGAGTGCAGCCTTAAACAACAAACCAACCAACATCTTTTATCGGAATTCTTTCATCTGAAAACTTCGACAGACGACAAGACAACTTTGCTGTTGTATATAACTCATGTCTATGTTTATATTAAACAGCTAAGGAAATTGTAATACATTGCTTCATTGGCATGCGTTTCATGCAATCAAAAGATAGTCTTTATTAAACTGTTTGTTTTATTGTGAGTGTAATACCAACAGGTTTCAGAACTGAATGTACCCCATTCCCCAACCCTCTCCAACCCCAGATATAGCTACAGTGTTTTTATGTAACAGGAAATGGACACATTATGAAATATTAATAACTGTTTTGTACTAAACATGTCTTTAACGAACATGATCCCCATTTGGGAGTATTGTGTATCAGTGTGTTTTAGACAATGCGCACTTTCCCTTTTATGAGTCAGCTCTTTCAAAACAAGCAAACAACACAGAGTTATGAATATTTCATAATGTGTCCGTTTTCCCTCTATATACAAAACTGTAGCTATGTATGGGGTGGGAATGGGGTACATTCAATGTTATATATAAAGGTCCGATGTGTAATCAACTCCCCAGTAGAATCACGCAGATGTTGCCATATTGTGACTATTGTTAAACTTTTTTAAGATCAATGCCTATTGCACGCCGTGATCATCCGTCAATGCGGTAAAATGGAAGAACAGATAGCGTGGATGTTATATTGAAATGATATATGCCAAATGAATACAAATAACAAATAGGCCACATTCTTCTGATATTATTCCATTTTTGAAAGCACATACATTCTTCTAAAAACATTGTTGAATTAATCATTTATGTGTTTAAAATGTATTAGAAATAATTATTAGTAATTATATAATGTGGTAACAACCATTTTTAGTTACTATTGGGCGTTCAGTGTATTTCCAACACACACAAAACAGGAGAAATGGGGCCAAATCATCGAATTACACGTCATCAAATCTGCTAAAATAAAGATGCTAACCATGTTCAAATCAATATGGTCGTTCAGATCCATGTTTTTATGTGTACGATTTCGTGGCAATAGCGAGCTGACATGAAATATCAAAGCACATGTCGGTGATGAAAATATGGGGTGTGTCATTGTTTACATATCGCCCATGTAACGACGATTTTCGTGTCCTCGAAACTGCTTAAATAACGTTCGTACACTGAAAGCAGCAACGATGGGTGTTGTTCTGGTGGACGCATACTTTTGCAATAGTATCGATGAAAATGCTATGAAAAACGAATGGCGCGTCTCCCTTGCAGTGAAGGCCGCCATTCGCGAAAGTGGTTACCTGGGTCAGTGTCGGAGCGTTAGCGCAGGCGCAACAGACCCTAGGAACCAGGCTGCCAAACATGGCTACGCCAGTAATATCCCATATCCCGTGGGCAAAACAGCTATACAGTCATTCCCTTCGTAAAAATGTTTCAGTGTTGAAAGTTGTTGATCCTTTAGCTCAAAGTTTATGCTTAAATTGTGCTTTGCATTGTTGCAAAGTTCGACGGTGCCGCCATTTTTATGCTTCGAAATGCGTTTTACTACGTGCGATTTGATTGGTTTGCCACGGTTCTTGACAATAGTGGCGTACTATACATATACAGTCATGTACAGGTATGAGTCTTCTTGTAAGTCACGGAAAGAGGCGAGTAGCTACGAATGCCCATCCCTGTATCACAGACCTATCAGATTGCCATTGAAATTAACGTGCTTTCCACAACATTCAGAGGTTAGAGAATAATCAACCGTTCTTCATTTTTCAATATCAGGTGTGTGGACTTCAGGTGTCAAAAAACATGCAAAAAGTGATTAAGTTCATTGTGCACAAAGTGCACGTACCATGGGCAACGCGTGACATCAAATGCCATGCAAAGTGCTTTGCTACATGTTACTTTTGGATTATTTTTATAACATATCAAATAACATTTATTTTATACAATTTTATGTTACGCACAGTTACTTTTTCCCTTGGTATAGATCGAGTCGTTTCGCCTTGAAACATTTTTTTTGATAAATGTAGATGAAGAAATATCAAGCTGACCTTAAGTGTATTGATTTTATGGGCGTGAAAGTGTAAGAGGTTTTGCCACATCAAATAGGTACCGACAACTTCAGGTGAACAGGGATTCAGGTTTAAGGAATGGGTAGATACACATTGGAAATCCTATGTATTTCATATTTGTAGAACTGGAATGCCAATGTAAAGTGATGAATACTTAAACCATGGAACATGTAGTAACTACCTTGTACAACGTATTGGCCATGTACAGGCGCTTTGGGCCCATCTCTGCGTAAACCGTTAAGAACCCTGTAGCTACAATATTGGTAGCGATCTAATTTCCTGTATATGTCTAACACAGCCGGTGCCGCTGATTGGTGATTTGACTAAAGAGAACGATGTACAGCGTATCGTGGACGAAACCACAGCGGCTGCAGGCAGGCTTGACATATTGGTGAGTGGAAGCTGTAGGCATGTTGAACATATTGGTGAGCAGCAGCCGCAGGCAACTTGGACATATTGGTGAGCAGCAGCTGTAGACAGGTTGGACATATTTGTTTGCAGCAGCTGCAGGCAGGTTGACACACCTGGTGCAGCAGCTGCAGACAGGTTGGACATATTGGTGAGCAGCAGCTGCAGGCAGGTTGGACATATTGGTGAGCAGCAGCCGCAGGCAGGTTGACATATTGGTGAGCAGCAGCCGCAGGCAACTTGGACATATTGATGACTAGACCAGCAGCATTGGTGTTTGCAGCAGCCGTTGACATATTGGTGAGCAGCAGCTGCAGGCAGGTTGGACATATTGGTGAGTAGCAGCTGTAGACAGGTTGACATATTTGTGACCAGCAGCTGCAGACAGGTTGGACATATTGCGAGCAGCAGCCGCAGGCAGGCTTGACATACTCGGTGAGCAGCAGCAGGCAGGTTGGACATATTGGTGAGCAGCAGCCGCAGGCAGGCTGGACATATTTTGACCAGCATGTAGACAGGTTGACATATTTGTTTTGCAGCAGCCGCAGGCAGGCTATACTGGCGAGCAACAGCCGTAGGCAGGTTGAACATATTGGTGACTAGCACCCAGACAGGTTGGACATATTGGTGAGCAGCAGCTGCAGGCAGGTTGGACATCTTTGGTGAGCAGCAGCTGCGGGCAGGCTGACATATTGCGAATCGTAGCTGTAGGCAGGTGGATACATATTGGTGAGTCGCAGTTGCAGGCAGGCTGGACATATTGGCTAGCAGCCTGCAGACAGGTTGAACATATTGATGAGTCGCAGCCGTGCAGGCTGGACATATTGGTGTGAGCAGCAGCCGCAGGCAGGTTGGACATATTGGTGAGCAGCAGCCAGGCATGCCGGACATTGCGCGCTGCAGGCTGGACATATTGGTGAGCAGCAGCTGCAGGCAGGTTGGACATATTGGTGAGCAGCAGCTGTAGACAGGTTGGACATATTGGTGAGTAGCAGCTGTAGACAGGTTGGACATATTGGTGAGTCGCAGCTGTAGGCAGGTTGGACATATTGTGTGAGCAAGCAGCTGTAGACAGGTTGGACATATTGGTGAGCAGCAGCTGCAGGCAGGTTGGACATATTGGTGAGTCGTAGCTGTAGACAGGCTGGACATATTGGTGAGTCGTAGCTGTAGGCAGGTTGGACATATTGGTGAGTCGCAGATGGTAGGCAGGTTGGACATTACTGGTGAGTGACATATTGGTGTAGCAGCTGCAGGCAGTCAGTACCGTAGGCAGGGACATATTGGTGAGCAGCAGCTGCAGACAGGTTGACATATTGGTAAGTCGCAGCTGTGGGCAGGTTGGACATATTGGTGAGTCGCAGATGTAGGCAGGTTGGACATATTGGTGAGTAGCAGCTGTAGACAGGTTGGACATATTTGTGAGCAGCAGCTGCAGGCAGATTGCCGCAGCCGCATATTGGTGAGTCGTGAACCGTAGGCAGGTTGGACATATTGCGAGCAGCAGCCGCAGACAGGTAACAGCTGCAGCATATTGGTGAGTCGTAGCCGTAGGCAGGTTGGACATATTGGTGAGCCGCAGCAGTTGACCTACTTCTGCAGGCAGGCTGGCCGGACATTGTGAGCAACAGCCGCAGGGGTTGGTCTTGGAGTCGCAGCTGCAGCAGCAGGCTGGACATAGCGGTCGTAGCTGTAGGCAGGTTGACATATTGGTGAGTCGCAGATGCAGGCAGGTTGACATATTGGTTGTAGCAGCTGCAGACAGGTTGACATATTTGTGTGTAGCAGCTGCAGGCAGGTTGACATATTGGTGAGCAGCAGCCGTAGACAGGTTGGACATACTTGTGAGTAGCAGCTGCAGGCAGGTTGGACATATTGGTGAGTTGACATATTGGTGAGTAGCAGCTGTAGGCAGATTGACATATTGGTGAGTCGCAGCTGTAGGCAGGTTGGACATACAGCGAGCAGCAGCTGTAGGCAGGTTGACATACCAGTAGACGAGTAAAAGCTGTAGGCAGGTTCGACATGCTAGTGAGCAGAAGCTACAGGCAGGATGGACATATTGGTGAGTAGAAGTTGAAGGCAGGTTTAAGGTATTTGTGAGTAGCAGATCGTTGACAGATCGCCGTCATATAACTGGAACATTGCTGACCGCGGCGTAAACAAATAACACAATTGCAGAAACATTAAATTTCTGTTTAGGTTAACAACGCAGGGGTGTTTAGCGCTGTCAGTATTGAAACAACAAGTCTTGAGGACTTTGACAAGATATTCAACATCAATGTCAGGTGAGAAAATACGGTTTTCAGTTAACTCGCAATAGGATAGACCTTTCTTCAGTGATGTCGAGAACCAAGATGTTACATTTACATTGGCCAACACTATCTTTCCCATCTTGCAAAATACATACATGAAACTCATTAGAATTAACCACTGTTACGAGTTCAACCACATTATTTTAGGAATACCAGTTTGGTCATATAATGTGTTAATAGTTTGATCATGAACATTTAGCTCAAACTGGAACGTTGATTTGATAAATGAAAATTTTCTTGAAGTTTTACGTATTTACACTTTCAAGATAGCATAGACTAACTTTCAAGACAATTTGCAATTTTATAATTTGAATATTTTCAAGACAATATTTCTCAATAATATTTCGAATAATTAACTTGATTTTTAAGAAAAGACCTCAAATTTTAAAGAAAACTTGAATTACATTATCAGCATTTAGACCTTTATTTATCAAAACTTGTCCAGCAGGGCGGATACAGCCTTTGAGAGGGGGTGTTGCACATTTGATTTTTACCCGAGTTTCAATGGTCATATAACAAACTTTCAGCACAACACCACCCCCAATTCCCCACCATCCCCCACCCCCTCTCTGGATCCGCCTATGAAGACAGACAGATGATTGGCAGATTGAAATATAGCTCACATGGGTATTGGTTTCATTCACAAATTGCTGTGCTATGTTTTGCTTGCAAACTATTTCGAGCAGGTCTGTGTATAATATAACAATGCTGTGTGTGCCGTATCTGGTGAAGACGAAAGGCAACATCGTCAACGTCTCCAGCATTGCAGGACTCCGTCCAGTATGTCAAAACATTTATATATGTCTCTGTTATATATTAAGATTGTATTTGTATATGTCCAGGGATTCTCTCCGATTTTTTTATCTCTGAGACAAATATCTCCCCTTTTAAAAAAGCAGTGCAACAATTTGAATTGTGAATATACAGTACAAACAGAAATTATTGAGAATTTAAGATTGTAATTTTTTTTATTCTTTTCACTCATTACTCACGTATTAAATGTGAATATTAGCAGAACATAACTCCAGATTCAAAGACAGGTGAACAGTTAGCATTTTGTCAAGTCACCATGGGCAGCAATGCAGGCTTCAATGCGGCGAGGCATACTACTGATCAAAGAAGTTGGAAAGTCGTGGTCCTTGCTGTCCCAATATCGGACCACCTCTTCTTTCATTTCAGCACTATTTGTCAGATTTTTCTTATTGACCCTTTCCTTCATAAGTCCCCAAACATTTCTATTGGATTTAGGTCAGGGCTATAGCTTGGCCAATCTAATAATGTCATATTTTGGGTCTGAAACCAGGCCTGTGAATGCTTTGAACGATGTTTTTGGTCGTTGTCCTGTTGGAAAATCCAAACATTTCCATAGAACACGTGAGCAGATGAAAGTAAATGTCCCTCGAGAATATTTGTGTACCGCTCACTGTTCATATTCCCTTCAAATACACAAAGGGGCGTTGGCCCTCACACAGATATGCCACCCCACACGTTAACTTTCGGACTGTACTTTGGGCGCTGATACAATGGTTTTTCAGTTTGTTTGGTCCAGAATTTCAGTGTACATGTATTAGGAAACAGCCACACAGAACTTTCATCTGAGAAAATCACATTGTCCCAGTTAAAATGTCTATGCTGTAAGCACCAGTTCAACCTTCGCTCCTTTTGTTCAGGTTTCATGATCGGTGATGGAGTTCCTCGACTTTTCTGCCAACCCATTGCATGCATCTCAGTACTAATTGTCTCCATACAGACAGCCACAGTTCTTCTATCAATCATATCCAGCCTTAAGTTTCCTAAACTCCTTCGTTTGTTTTTAGAAACAAGAATACCAAGCCGCCTCCTGTCACCCACAGTCAATTTTCTGGGCCTACCTGCGCCTCCCTGGTGCTCAATGCCATATCCATTTGCACTATAACAAAGGGATGCCTGTTCTACTTGAAATCACTTTAGCTGATCTGATGTCCTTGTTATAATACTCTAAAATCAACTTCCTCTTCTCTAAATCATCCATACTGAGGAGCACTGAAAATGTCGTCTGCTAGCAAGTAAACAAAGGGGGATAACCCTTCACAAACTAATGAAAAAGGATTAACGGAGTTGCCTCTCTTGAATGAAACCAAGCACTTGATAGCTGGTCGAGGTTGTTTATGGTAGAAATCCAATCAAACATGTTCCTAAAATTCTCAATAATTTATGGTCATACTATATATCTAATTGTCAAATATGTTATATCTTCGAACAGTAAAAAGTGTTTATTTATGACTTGAATTGTGATACAGTTGTTTAAAGATATATTCTTGTGAGTTTTACTTTCAAACTCGTATTATTCCACTGTTACTATTCTATGATAATGAACATTGAATACTGCCAGTATTTACATTAATTATGCGTTCTATTACATAGCATCAATATTAGGTCTCCAGCTATTCAGGACTGCGTGCGGTATGCTTCGATATTCTATTCTGTGTTCTGTAATAATGTCTTCAACGCGATAAAGATCCATTTAGAACTGATCTTCTGCAACCAATGTTGGTCCTATGAGGCGTTGGACCGGGTGGTCAGTTTCGCCATGCATGCCATAGTATCCTTGTTGCGAAGCTTGATTCTCTGGATGTCAGTCACTGGATCGTCAGATAGTCACATTAAATATGACTGTAATATTAGCAGATAGTAGCATTGGTATTACTGTAATATTGGCAGATAGTGACACATGGTATTACTGTAATATTGGCACATAGTGACACATGGCATTACCGTAATATTGGCAGATAGTGACACATGATATTACTGTAATATTTGCAAATAGTTACACATGGCATTACTGTAAAATTGGCAGGTAGTGTCACTTTATATGTCTGTAATATTGGCAGATAGTGACACATGGCATTACTGTAAAATTGGCAGATTGTGTCACTTTATATGTCTGTAATATTGGCAGATAGCGACACTTAATCTGACTGTAATATTGGCAGATATTGACAAATGGTGTTACTGTAATATTGGCAGGTAGTGTCACTTTATATGTCTGTAATATTGGCAGATAGTGTCACTTTATATGTCTCTAATATTGGCACATAGTGTTACATGATATGACTGTAATACTGACAATTAGTGATACATGGTATGACTGTAATATTGGCAGATAGTGACACTTAACATTACTGTAATATGAGCAGATAATGACACTTAGTACTTACCTTTTTCAGTTTCCTGACATTTTGCCGTATAGCATGTCAAAGAGTGCTCTTAACCAGATGACCAGATGTGTTGCACTGGGTAAGTACACTTGCATTAATACTGCGTGCATTTGCCAGCCTCAAATAGCTTCCAGTATGAAAATTAATCGCTTATTCAGGATCTGCAACAGCTCGAATCCCCCTACGCATGCGTTTTAAAATGGCCGCGGAGCTATCTCCTACTGGCCCAAAAGTAAAACGATTTAGACTGGGGTCCATGACGAACCTTTTGAAATATTCATTGTTGATGATTACTTTGAAGATGTGGAGCAGACTAAGAATGGTGGGATGATGTTAGTGGGATGCCCATTTCCCAAATGACCCAAATGGCGTTGTCCGCTATCAAACTCAATTTACGCGTGCCTCCAACTTGGTGTAAGCGACCTTCACCAGCGGTTGGCGTGATTGTAAGTGACAGAAAGTTAGCACCTCGTTTTAGAACATTGGGAAAGATTTATCTTATGTAGGTATTACATTATATATTGTTTATTACATTATTTATTTTATTGGGAAGATTTTATCAACAATTTTTCAATTACATCCTGAATGAAAAATAAGAGAGCACTATCTTATCCTGTTCACAGAAATGGCGCCCAAACATGTCAGAGTTAATGCCGTAAAGTAAGTTCGTATATCATCATCATCATCATCATCATCATCATCATCATTATAATCATCATCATCATCATAATGTATTATAGGGTTAGTAGATTGGTGTTACGTCGATCATATGTTGTCGGTTCTTATTATGTTTAACATTTTTCGTGACCGAAGCCTACACCTACATACACATACAGACACACGTACACGTACATAGGAATGCGCGCACACACAAACGCACACACACACACACACATGTATACGTGTAACATTTTTCATCACCTCCCCACTCATTATAATAAAAGATTGACCACTGGGCAATATTTAAATTGATATTCTATTAGGACATTATTTTGAATATTAAATAGAACTGTGCCCCCCACAAATAACCCCACATCCTCCCCTGTAATCTCGCCAATCAAACCTTCCATGACAGAAGACTAATGCCGAATCCTATGTTTACAGCCCAGTGGCGACTGACACCGATATCTTCAGACGTGCTGGATTTAGTGAAGAGGACAATGCCAAGGTAAACTTGCCTTCTTAATTAAACCATGGTTAGAGCGTCGGCCCGGAGAGCGGAAGGTCGCGGGTTCGATCCCCGACCGCGTCATACCAAAAGACGTTAAAATATGGTACTTGTTGGTCCCTGCCTGGCGCTCGGCATTGATGGGTACAACAGGGACTGGTCGGCTCGGAGTCAGTATAATGTGTCTGAGTGGGGTATTCATGCTTCACTGCGGCATGGTATCTCAGTGGGCTAGCACTATAAAACCAGCTTAAGTCTGGGCTAGTACAAGCAGCCGCACATACACATACACACGCATGCACGTCGTCATATGAGCGAAATATTCTCAAGCACGACGTTAAACCCAATTTCACCTTACCTCACCTCTTAATTAAACCTGCACGTGGACGGGTAACTATTGGGTGGCTGTTGTAGCTTTGGGATGGCCTGGTCAGCTGTTTTAAACGTTACGGTAAATATCACAATTTATTTTATAATATTTCAGTTCTATCGCGTGCCAACGAAAACCATAAAGAAAGTGTTGGAAAATCCACTAAGAAATGTCAATAACATTCATTTATGTGCACCTCGGTTTTACGTTCAGGGCCCGGTTCTACATCGTGTTGAACAGTGCAAGGGCCCATTCCACATGTACACCAATAGCGCAAAGACGATCGTAAATTTAACATAGATCTCAGACAGTCGTGGTGCTTAGCAATAGGTTTGTGGTTCACCAGCTGCTGTACAGCGGGGAATACGATGTTGTATGTGCAACTGGGATAGGGGGTTGACCAGATGGCGTCATCACACCGGAAGTCATGAATACTTGCTCGTAGAAGGGCCCGGAATCACATGACATTCATTTAACTGCAACTGGGATAGGGGGTTGACCAGATAGCGGCATCACACCGGAAGTCATGAATACTTGCTCATAGAAGGGCCCGGAATCACATAACATTCATTTAACTGCAACTGGGACGGGGGATTGACCAGATAGCGGCATCACACCGGAAGTCATGAATACTTGCTCATAGAAGGGCCCGGAATCACATAATATTCGTTTAATTTAAAGCTGGCCGGAGTTATGGAGTGTGTGAGCGAGGTTTGCTCTGGACGGGGTGAGGCAGGTTTCCGACTTCCAACGTTTGGATGAAGCAGCGAAATGCGGGATATACGAGGGATGGCTGAAAACCTCGGAGTTTGATAGCTTTTTCCAACCAGTCACTTCGGGATATACGAGGGATGGCTGAAAACCTCGGAGTCTGATAGCTTTTTCCAACCCGCCACTGCTGGATGTACGAGGGATGGTTGAACACATCGGAGTTTGATAGCATTTTCCAACCAGTCACAGCGGGATATACGAGGGATTGCTGAGTTTAATAGCATTTCCAACCAGCCACTGCGGGATATACGAGGGATGGTTAAACACATCGGAGTTTGATAGGATTTTCCAACCGGTCACAGCGGGATATACGAGGGATGGCTGAGTTTAATAGCATTTCAAACCAGCCACTGCGGGATATACGGGGGATATACTTTATTGCGCATAAGAGCGATCCGGAAGTAGACATCGTTGCTGATAATATTAATCACTGGTTTGTCTGGTCCTAGCTGGAATATATGGAGGTCGCCGTCATATACCTGGGGTGTTCACGGACTAGTTTGGTTTTTTGACATATATTTTATGAATTTTATAATTTGAAATGAGTAGTCTGAACGAGAACACCAACGCTGTCATGCAAGTCACTTGAGAATTTATTTCATCTTTCAGCTCCTCGAACAATGTAAGTCAGTACTCGCCCTGGGTCGAGTAGCAGAGGTTATTGACATTGCCAACCTCATCGCCTACCTGGCCTCCGACAGCGCATCGTTCATGACGGGTAACACAGTTCCCGTTGGATTGTTTCAGTAATAATTCGCAGTGAAAGGTCAACGCTGTGCTGTACATATCAATCATATATGCCTCGCACTTCTTAGTAATAACCCAATTAAAACATGTATGTCCCATACGTCTTGCCTATGATTCTCCAAATACATGTCCCATGCCTTCAACACTCCTCAAAATCAGATGCGCCTTGCTTTTTGCCCCAAATCCCGCAATTCCGTCATATCAATGGACTCTAATTCCACAATGTGTAGTCAAGTTTGCCCCAAGCCTCAATAAGCACTTATATGCCATGCTACTCGTCTAAACGTCTGTGAAAACCGTCATATATTATCCAATGCTGCTAAAATTCTTTACATCCAACCATATATACTCAACAACAAAAGTTAAGGACCTCCCCAATTTTCAATATGAAAGAATTGAATACAGGTCCTTAACATTTTTGTTGAGTATTTATCCCATATATATTTCCCAGGTATGTTTCCCCGTCTTCAGTAACTCATCTTTGTTGTAAAAGGCGACTAACGTGATCGGGTGGTCAGACTCGTTGACTTGGTTGACTACATGTCATCGTATCCCCACTGCGCTGATCGATGCTCATGATATCAATCACTGGATTGCATGACCAAATGTCATATAGCTGGAATATTGCTGAGAAACAAGAAACAGGAAGACAAGTAAAATATAACATTAAAAGTATTTCAAAATATTTCATGTTAGATTCGTTGAGGGTATTCCCAAATGTGATGCATCACTGAGCAAAGTGATGCAACTTCCATTGGGACTTGAGCCATATGTACTTTTGTTTATTTGAGCGAACACTTTATTTACCTTTGCATGTGTTTGTGATACATTAACCTATGACATACTTTCATAAACTCGGAATCGTACAACGGACTCTGTTTTTAAGCAGATTACATATAATATTGAAAGAACTCTGTAGCTTATATTATACTCATAAAAATAGGGGAACTTCGTTTTAATTTCACGATTGAAAAAAAATATATCGGAGCCAATTAATGTTGATACAATACTAATGAATATTTTGAGAGTGCATCACCACTTCCAGTTCCTTATGACCATAGTTGTTTGTACAATAATCACTCTTTGAAAGATGATCTGTCTATGACGTGAAATTTGCATGTGTACGATTTTCATTTTCAAGCAAGGAAACGGCAAGATGACTGTCAAAATTAATGGTCTGCAGTGAAAACCGTCAAAATCAAGAATGACACCTCATGCACGTGTGTGGCTACTGCGTTGTGAACGTGCACACCATGCGTTGTGTTTAGGGGTGGTGATAACGAGAAATGGTGGTGCGATCATAAGATGACTGTCTTTGAAAAGTTTGTTATCGCAAATACTTATCCAAAATGAAAGTTCAGGTTCCCCCTACTTTTGAAGAGTGTATAAAATGTTCACTCGTTTATTTTGGCAAATACTTCATTTGCCTTTGCGTGTGTTTGTAATAGAATCCACCATAAGGACAAGATGAACTCACTTTTGTATCATTACTATTGATAGTGACTCAGTAACACATGACATACGTATCATATAGTCAGAATCGTAGAATGGGCTCGGCTCTTAGAAAAGATTACGAATTATATTGTGTAGGTTATATTATGACATATAGTATCATTTACATAAGAATGTGGGAAATAAAGCTAATTGTATTTAATTGAACAGTTGTTATGATGTGTGGAAGTAATGAAAACAACTTCATTTTGACCACATTGAAACCCAAGTGAACAAATCCTGTATATTCAAAGAGTGTTGAATTAAGTCAGTTCAAGTTTCTTTTCCTTGGTGATTCTCTATTGTAATCGAATATACAGAGCTTGACCAGTATCTAACTTGGTATCTTACAGAACACGCGAGATGCTGTGGTCCAAAACTACAAACGTCATCTCATGTATTATAAGGCATTGGCTCGAATATAGCTTATATACTTTGTATTTTCAAGTGGGAACTGTTGGTAGACCCATCAAGGATTATATTTTGAAGTGGTAACTGTGTTTAGACCCATCAAGGATTATATTTTGAAGTGTGAACTGTGGGTAGACGCATCAAGGAATATATTTGAAGTGGGAACTGTGTGTACGTATCAAAGATTATATTTTGAAGCGGGACTGTGGGTAGAGGCATCAAAGATTATATTTTGAAGTGGGAACTGTGGACAGACCCATCAGTATTTTGAAGTGGGAACTGTATGTAGACCCATCAGGGATTATATTTTGAAGTGGGAACTGTATGTAGACCCATCAGGGATTATATTTTGAAGTGGGAACTGTATGTAGACGCATCAAAGATTATATTTTGAAGTGGGAACTGTATGTAGACCCATCAGGGATTATATTTTGAAGTGGAACTGTATGTAGACCCATCAGGGATTATATTTTGAAGTGGGAACTGTGGGTAGACCCATCAAAGATTATATTTTAAAGTGGGAACTGTGGGTAGACCAATCAGGGATTATATTTTGAAGTGGACATGTATGTAGACCCATCAAAGATTATATTTTGAAGTGGGAACTGTATGTAGACCAATCAGGGATTATATTTTGAAGTGGGAACTGTGTGTAGACCCATCAAGGATTATATTTTATTGTGTAGACCCAAAGATTATATTTTTGGAAATTTGGGAGACGCATCAAGGATTATATTTTGAAGTGGGAACTGTGGGTAGACGCATCAAAGATTATATTTTGAAGCGTTAACTGTGTGTAGACGCATCAAAGATTATATTTGGAAGTGGTAACTGTGTATAGACGCATCAAAGATTATATTTTGAAGCGTTAACTGTGTGTGTAGAAGCATCAAACATTATATTTTGAAGCGTTAACTGTGTGTAGACACATCAAAGATTATATTTGGAAGTGGGGAACTGTGGGTAGACGCATCAAAGATTATATTTTGAAGCGTTAACTGTGTGTAGACGCATCAAAGATTATATTTGGAAGTGGTAACTGTGTATAGACGCATCAAAGATTATATTTGGAAGTGGTAACTGTGCATAGACGCATCAAAGATTATATTTTGAAGCGTTAACTGCTGTGTAGACGCATCAAAGATTATATTTTGAAATTGGAACTGTGGGTAGATATATCAAAGATTATATTTTGAAAATGCATTGTAAATGCAGCATATAGTAGTGCAAGAATATGCAAATTTTGACTGAATAAAGTTGTATCAAGGATTATTTGTCTTTGTGTGGATTTCATCGTTATCGTGTATTAATGACAAAGATTATGTTTTGAAGTGGAGACGATAGTTCGGTGTAATCAATTCAAACATTGTATACTTGAAGTAAAACGACTTATTTTGCGTAAATGTATCAAAGATTATGTTTAAGCTTCTAAGCAGTGTGTAGACATATCGAAGACGGCAATGAAGTAGGGATTTATCATCGAAAGATTATATTTTGAAGTGGAATTTTGCCATTCACCATAGAATTTGGAAGCTGCTATATTGAAGATCAAAAGGTTATATTTTGCTCGCTTTCGCTGTTCTTCTTATGTTTGCTCACTTAAACCTTATCAAACGCATTAGACATAGAGTCCTCACTGAACCTATTAAGACGCGCCTCCTCCCCGTTGTAAAGGCAAACCTTCCAGCACTTATCCTTCTTTGCAGCTGGTAACAGCTCTTGACAACATTTCCCATAGAGATCATTTAAATGACAGGCATCATCGATGAACTTATTGTTTCCATGAAAACTCATTCTTCAAAATATAAATACGTTTAAAGCGGAAGAAATATCTAAACCGAAAGCTGGTGGAAAAGTGGAACACATTGTGAAAATGTCGAGTTTATTTTATGAATGCAACTGCGCGCATTTTCTAACAACTAATGTCGATGAACTAAGTCCCCGTGACACACAACGTGCATCTTTTGCATTTCAACAAAACAATATATGTTTGGAAACACAAAATCAACATATTTCAATCTTCAATAACGGAGCTAAAGCTTCTTACAAAGATGTGTAGATTAAAATACTTACATCATGTCAGACCATCGTTTATCAATATCTCTTCCTTCAGACTAACATTTCTCTCCGGTAAACATTTGAATGTGTTAATACTCAGCTGTTAGGAAACAGATATCTCTTGTTTCCTTGACTCTTGATGGAATAACAGAACTTCACGTATGGATACGTCAGGTCACTTGACGAGCATGTCCATTCAGTTCACATCCTTGGATAACACCAACCACCAATATTCCCTTAACATAAGACTCTGTGGCCCCCAGCTAAGCTGTGGACATGTCTAATGTTGGTAATCTTGAAAACGTCAGTTGTCATGTCGCTTTAGAGAAATCGTGGCGATGACGTCAGCTTCTCTGGCGTCGGCTACCCGGTTCACATGATAAAGCGATAAATCTCTCTTTGATCCATCCCGTTGAAGATGAAAATTCACCGTAGCATTTTCCGAATATTCCTTGAAAAGAAGCCATTTAGCTTAAGCACTAACAAGCTTTCTTTATACGAATGTGTTAATTTCACACTATCGACCACTGGCCTGTCAAGTGAAGACCCGGATATTTGATTGCAGATTTGAGACTTATAATCGAGTATAAACCAAGAAAACTACATGAAAGCATAATCCATAACCCATACTACCTGAACACGAGTAACAGATGTCATCAGGTTCATTTTAGTCCACCTACGAGACAGACCAGGATGTATTCTACCCTTGAATCGGATCCTGGTAACCTGTTCAGGTTCAGCACTTACCTGGTTGTGTGATCTCGGCCAGCCTCTACCACAGCTCCAGTGAAAGGGTCGACAGATATCAGGCTGTACCGGGGTAGGTGTCTTTAAACAAACCAGGGACACAGCCAGGAGCTGACCTGTTAGTGACAGAGATCAATCTTTGAGTGAGTGAGAGAGTATGTTTTTCGCCGCTTTTAGCTATATTCACTGATTCGATTCCCCAATCACGGGGTACAATGTGTGGAGTTCATTTCAGTCTCCCCGACGTGATTGTTGAATATCATC